TATATATATATATATATGTATATATGTGTATGTGTATATATATATGTATGTATATGTATGTATGTATGTATGTATGTATATATATATATATATATGGGTGTGTGTGTGTGTGCGTATACAGTGGAGCAAATAAGTATTTGATCCCCCCACTGACTTTTAGTTTTAATACAAAAAAATAAATGAAACGTCTCATAATTTTATGCCAGCTTTATTTTAACAGTGACACATACAATATCAAAAGAAAAACTGAGAAAATTACATGAAATGAGAAATAAAAATTAATTTGAACTTCATTGAAGGAAATAAGTATTTGACCCCCTAGTAAAACATCATTTTATACTTGGTGGCAAAACCCTTGTTGGCAAGCACAGCAGTCAGACGTTTCTTGTAGTTTTTTATAAGGTTTGCACACACTTCAGGAATAATTTTGGCCCACTCCTCTCTGCAGATCATCTCCAAATCCTTAAGGTTTTTAGGCATGCATTTGGAAACGCGAAGCTCCCATAGATTTTCTATGGGATTGAGGTCAGGAGACTGGCTAGGCCATTCCATGACCTTGATATGCTTCTTATGGAGCCACTCCTTTGTTTCCTTGGCTGTATGTTTTGGGTCGTTGTTGTGCTGGAAGACCCATCCACGACCCATTTTCAGTGCCCTGGCGGAGGCAAGGAGGTTGTCACCCAGGATTTTGCGATACATGGCCCCGTTCATCTTCCCGTCGATGCGGTGAAGTTGGCCTGTGCCCTTAGAAGAAAAGCACCCCCAAAACATAATACTTCCACCACCATGCTTGATGGTGGGGATGGTGTTCTTAGGGTCATATTCTGTATTTTTCTTCCTCCAAACACGTCGAGTTGAGTTGAGGCCAAAGAGCTCAATTTTGGTCTCATCTGACCACAGCACCTTCTCCTAGTCTCTCTCTGAGTCATTAATATGTTCATTGGCAAACTTGAGGAGGGCCTGGACGTGAGCCTTCTTGAGCAGAGGAACCTGGCGTGCACTGCAGGATTTTAAACCATTACGTCTCAGTGTATTACCAATGGTTTTTTTGGAGACTGTGGTCCCAGCTGCCTTGAGATCATTAACTAGCTCCTCCCATGTAGTTCTTGGCTGATTTTTAGCCTTTCAATGAGACTCCACGAGGTGATATCTTGCATGGAGCTCCAGGCCTAGGTCGATTGACAGTAATGTTGTACTTCTTCCACTTCCGAATAATTGCACCAACAGTTGTCACCTTCTCATCCAGCTTCTTACTTATGGCTTTGTAGCCCATTCCAGCCTTGTATAGGTCAACAGTTTTGTCCCTGACATCTTTAGACAGCTCTTTAGTCTTGCCCATGGTGGAGATGTTGGAGTGTCACGTTGGAGTCTGTTGGCAGGTGGCCTTTTATACAGGTGACAATTTGGGACAGGTGTCTCTCATGCAGGTAACGACTTCACTGAGATTAGGGTGTGTCAGTGGTCTGTGGGAGCCAACATTATTCATGGTTTTTACGGGATCAAATACTTATTTCCCTCAATGAAATGCAAATTATTTTTTATTTAAATATTATTTAATTTTCTAGATTTTCTTTTTGATATTCCATCTCTCACTGTTAAAATGAAGCTACCATAAAAATCATAGACTGTTTAATTATTTGTCAGAGCACAAACTTTTGAAGTCAGTGGGGGATCAAATACTTATTTCCTCCACTGTGTGTGTGTGTGTGTGTGTGTGTGTGTGTGTGTGTGTGTATATATATAATATATACATACACACACACACACACACACACACACACACACGTGTGTATATATATCCTAATTTCCCGATTTCTTATTCTTTTGCATATTTGTCACACTTAAATATTTCAGATCACCAAACAAATTTAAATATTAGACAAAGATAACACAAGTAAAAAACAAAATGCAGTTTGTAAATGAAGATCTTTATTATTAAGGGAAAAAGAAATCCAAACCTACAGGGCCCTGTGTGAAAAAGTGATTTCCCTCTAAACCTAATAACTGGTTGGGCCTCCCTTAGCAGCACCCCTGCAATCAAGCATTTGCGATAACTGACAATGAGTCTTTTACAGAGCTGTGGAGGAATTTTGGCCCACTCATCTTTGCAGAATTGTTGTAATTCAGCCACATTAGAGGGTTTCCGAGCATGAACTGCCTTTTTAAGGTCATGCCACAGCATCTCAATCGGATTCAGGTCAAGACTTTGACTAGGCCTCTCAAGTGTTAATTTTGTTTTTCCTAAGCCATTCAGAGGTGGACTTGCTGGTGTGTTTTCGATCATTGTCCTGCTGCAGAACCCAAGTGCGCTTCAGCTTGAGGTCACGAACAGATGGCCGGACATTCTCCTTCAGGATTTTTTGGTAGACAGCAGAATTCTTGGTTCCATTTACCACAGCAAGTCTTCCAGGTCCTGAAGCAGCAAAACAGCCCCAGACCATCACACTACCACCACCATATTTTACTGTTGGTATGATGTTCCTTTTCTGAAATGCTATGTTACTCCTACGCCAGATGTAATGGGACATACACCTTCCAAAAAGTTCAACTTTAGTCTCGTCAGTCCACAGAGTATTCTCCCAAAAGTCTTGGGGATCATCAAGATGTTTTCTGGCAAAACTGAGATGAGCCTTTATGTTCTTTTTGCTCAGCAGTGGTTTTCATCTTGGAACTCTGCCATGCAGGCCATTTTTGCCCAGTCTCTTTCTTATGGTGGAGTCATGAACACTGGCCTTAGCTGAGGCAAGTGAGGCCTGTAGTTCTTTGGATGTTGTTGTGGGGTCTTTTGTGACCTCTTGGATGAGTCGTCGCTGTGCTCTTGGGGTAATTTTGGTCGGCCAGCCACTCCTGGGAAGGTTCACCACTGTTCCATGTTTTTGCCATTTGTGGGTAATGGCTCTCACTGTGGTTCGCTGGAGTCCCAAAGCCTTAAATTTATAAATGGCTATATATATATATATATATATATATATATATACATAACCTTTCCAGACTGATAGATCTCAATTACTTTGTTTCTTATTTGTTCCTGAATTTCTTTGGATCGCAGCATGATTTCTAGCTTTTGAGGATCTTTTGGTCCTGTAGGTTTGGATTTCTTTTTCCCTTAATAATAAAGGCGTTCATTTATAAACTGCATTTTGTGTTTACTTGTGTTATCTTTGTCTAATATTTAAATTTGTTTGGTCATCTGAAACATTTAAGTGTGACAATCATGCAAAAGAATAAGAAATCAGGAAGGGGGCAAACACTTTTTCACACCACTGTGTATCCATTGCTGGAAAATGAGTATTCCAAAAATGTATGTATACATGACATAACTCAGCAACTGTCAAAGTCAGAAGCTCAGCAACTATGTCAGATGCTCAAACCTATTTCCATTCAAGATGACTCCATTCCTGAAGGCAGTCTTCATCGGTATCAATGGGACACATTATTATACAAACATCTCTCTCTTCTAATAATAATCTCCCAATAGCGTCCTGTGGAGCAGCAGTGCTGTTATCAGGCTCCTCTGCTATATGTGTGCACAGAGTTATGAAAAAGGGAGTTTGCTGATGTTCATTACTATAAGAATAATGCGTGGAGGCAGAAAATCATAGTCTGTGACAGAACTGATAATACTTGCTCACAAGATGCTCCTCTCCTCTTCTTCAGCGCACGTCTCCCTTCTGTGCGCTGCATCACCAAAAGAGGAACGATTCACGAGCACACTCACAGTTTCTAATTTGAATTCTTTTGCTTTTGAAAGACTTAGTAAATCTATATTTTTTTGCATGCTGTTGCTAAAACCTAACCAGAAAAAACATGCTGCTGTTTTAAAGGTTGTGGTTGACTGGAAACCATCTTGCCATTTGATGCTCAATAAAGCAAAGGCCTTTTCCTTCCTTCCACAAGAACTCAGCAGCTGAAGTCTTTTTCATTCCTTTTTATCCTTTCACATTTTTGTTGATATTCTTTGATTCTTTTAATTCTTTTTGAAGACTTCAGATTATAGACAATTATTAGGGCAATAGTATAGACAAAATTAGTTACTTATAAATGTCCCAGACACTGGGCAAAAAGATAGAGCTCTTGACAGCGACAGGTCTAGAGTCTCAGGCATGGTGTCATGAAAGGTAAAGGCCTGGTCTTTACGGTCATATAAGGCATGACGTCAGTGCATCAACGCTTCCCATTTTTTCCCTGACGTTTCAAAATAAGAGACCCATTCTAACAGCTCATGACCTATTTGAATAGGAAGGTTGTAGATGCAAATCGGGTTTTCAGAAGGATCTCAGGAAGTCAGTACCATCAAGTTTACATGTATAAGATGCGTAACAAACAAATGAAGTAAAAGAAAAAAAATTCTATTAAAAATGAATGGTTATGAATGGCATGTTACTATTATCATGTGTATGTTCATGATCCTAAGAATCGTTCTTTCATTTGATATGATTTGTACACATTGATTGAAGTTTAATTTTGTTAACTATAATATTTGTAAATGTAATTCATAGTTTGTAGTGAGATATATCTAAATAAAATTTGGCTTCAAATAAGCCATCTTAAAAATTGACATAACTCATCTGTTTGCATTACAGCTTTCAAATGACACCCACCTTCTGAATGTAGCTTATGAAATATGAAAGTTACAGAAGTAAAGATAATGGCAAAGTATGTTTTGGAACTACCAGTGGTTCCATGGAGTTCAAATGCATGTGATATTCTTATTCAACTTCTGCATGTTACAGCATGTGAGTGGCTCAGGCAGAGTTGCTAACCATGGATGCTAAGGATGGAGGGAACACACACCAGTATTATTAGTATTAGTGTTATTAGTATTGTAGTATTTTTATATTGGACACTACAGGTTCTGTTTTGTCTGTTCCAACTTATTAAATTGTGATTTTTTGCTATATCACCCACCCCTAGTTTGAGTAGCTTCATTTTGTTTTTGCCTTGCATTACATTGACTGAAAATGGGACAGCCTTTTAAGATCTTATCTTTTTAATCTCAGAAAGATGACCCTGCCAAGACTAACCCTCGTTTCTGGGATGAGCTCTTTTTGATGAAGGTATGTTGTATCTAAACAATATCAAATATTGTCGACCTGAGTTTTAAGCCTCTTACTTTCAGTGTTGCTTTCAATGTTATCAGTTATTCATTCTGAAAAGTAATTTATAACATTCTATGTTGGTTTACCTGAGCACTGTACAATGTCTTAACACTAATAGCCATTCTGTTTTGCATATTCACCAGGTAAACTTGGAATATCTGGAGGGAAAGCTGGCATCTCTGGATGGAGATGAAGTGGTGATGATAAAGGAAAACATCAATAGTCTGTTCCACCATTGTGTACAGGCTTTAGAAGAAGAGCACCAGATCAAAGTAGTCAATGCTCTGCAGGTAGGGATGTGCTCAGATATGGTAATATGGCACAGGAATTGCATTAAAACACATTTTCCACCATAGCTGTTGGGGATTAGCCTTGGCTGTAATTTGTAACAATGGTTTTATGGAAATAGTCAAATAATGAGCTGTCTAGATACATCTATTTCATGCTGCTATCTCCCTGTCAGTGAGTGTACAGTACATTATGGATGTCTTCCTAATGTTGTGGCTCACAGTGCTTGTGACAGCATAGTGATTGCATATTATATAACATCTCGCACACAGAAGATAAAACATTTGAGTCCTTGTCAAGGCAATTATGCCACACTACCATACCAATAACAGTTTTTGAGCTAGGTTCCATATTGTGGTACATTCTTTTATCAATAGCTATGTTTCCATCCAAAAGATTTTTCAACAATTCAAAAAGTTTGTTGATGTATGTTATGGAAATGGAAATTGTCAGCAGTATTTTTGGATGTTGAGAAAAGGCTACAGCTTTTCTAAATGGAAAGTGCTCAAACACCACTATATAGCAGAGAAACATGATCTCTTTCTTACAGTAGTAAGTCAGTTAAATACCTTTGTTAGTAGGTTATGGGGAAGTCCAGGAATACCAAAGGTGCACAGTTTGTGGCATACATAAAATTAGAGATGTCAGCTTTTTAAAAAAGTATATGCAACAACATTTTTTTTTAACTCCTGCAGTTTTCACAGAAAGTTGCTATTGTAAGTTACTTGTTACTTTGAATAGGCAATTTCAGTTGCTCAGATTAGATTTGTATTGCTGAGGTTTCCAAAACCCCAAAGTTTATTTTATTTTAATTTAGTCAGACTCTGTATTTTGTAAATACATTATCATAAATTACCTTATCCCCCCAGAATTCTGTTCTGTCACAGTTTTCGCGGTTACTTTGCAATGTGTTGGAGAGTCTCTTAATATTAAAAAAAAAGTTTTAATCATAACGTAAAGTAACATACACAGATGTGTGTTTATTGGGTAAGATGCCCAATATAAAATTGGAGTACTCCAACTATTTTACAATAAAAATGCAAGTAGTTTTGTCTTATATGTGGGCTTATTATGGGCTTTTCCCTAAACAAAAATTTATTTTGGCTTGTTTCGAAACACGGTTGTTTAATGTTCATCATTGTCATTATTGTTTTCTCAGTACTGGGAGTTGTCTGGCTTAGAGTCAAATTCCAGTTGATTGGGCTGATCAGACTGATCCTCCTCCTCTATAAATTTGACATTTCCATTGCTTCTACTGAGTTATGTGGATTCTAGTGCTGCAGTACTAGACAATATAGCATGTAACTTAGCACTGTTTTCCACTCAAATATGCCCAATAGTGAGAGCCACCCAAGTATATTTTGTTGTGTTTTAGTAGCTTAGTTAGTAGCTTTCCGTTAATTCAAGGTACTGTTTGGTCAAACCTGGTCTTTTACACAGACCTCCATTGATTTATCCCATGACATGGATTCTCAGAAGAAAAAAAAACAGTGCTTGCAAAAAAAGAATTCATTATTCTGTTGAAAACCTTTAAAGCAAACGTTTTCTTTTTCTTCCTCACTGCCATCTTTTCTGCCTTCTTCTTTGCTGCCTTCTTCACAGCCCTTCTTCTGCTTCTTCTTCTTCTTCTTCTTCTTCTTCTTTTTCTTTGCTGCTACCTTCACCTTCTTTGCTGACACTTTCTTCTTGCCCCAGCTTCTTTTTCGTCTTCTTCTTGGACGCCACCTTTTTCTTCACCTTTGCTGTTTTCTTCTCCTTCTTCAACATTTTTTTGCTGCCTTCTCCTTCTTATTCACCATCTTCATCTTCTGCACGGTCACCTTTGCCGACTTCATTACCTCTTCTTCTTCCTCACCGGCATTTCTCTTTTGCCTTTGCCTTCTGAGCTAATAGCTCAAGTACGCTAGCTCATTTGTGAATACATTTGTGAACTAGGTTTTTCACTTTTTGCTTGTCACACAACTGGCATCAAAATATTCAATAGGAACTGAGCCTCAATAATTATCAAAAACATGCTGACATTTAAAAACAGATTGGCTGTCATATGCTAATTAACCTTTCAAGATTGGAGTGAAGTTTATGTAGACAGCAATTACTTACGAATGCATTATCCGATTCTGATTAAACTTCATAGGCTGCTGTGATGGTCACTGCTGAGGTCCTCTTTGGTTTTGCCACATCCATATGTTGTATCATGCTGAATTTTTGCCGACTTTATCTTTGATGTAGATTATAAGTGGGTCTGTAAGGATGATAGCTTGAAAATTATGGCCTTCCTCAGCAATTAAAATTTGATCATGCGTTTGATATTGACCAATTTTAATTAAACTTTAGTGGTATATCCATGAAGGAACTTTCTATCAGCCTGTTAAACTTCAAAAGAATTGGCCACTGGGACGTGCTGCTCAAGTTTTTAACAGTTAAATCCAGTATACTCTGTTCTGTTTTTAACTTGACATGAAACTGGATTTCGGTAATTCCTTACAGTGAGGCTTGCATCTTTACAAAAAAGTGCAAATGTTTCTTCACTGTCATTAATTTTTTTAAAACACTTTTCAAAGTAGTCCAAAAATTCATAACTGATCATTACAAAATTGGTCTTGAAATAATCTGTGGCATCAATAGGTAAATAATTAGCAAAAAAAATCTGCATATCAGTCAGATGCCAGAAAATTAGGTTTTGTGATTTTGAATCTGATCAACAATATCCTTCTGAACTTTGCCTGATACATGACAAATGAACTCCAGTATTTGGAGGTCTAGCACACATGGCAGGTGCGTTTGGCATTGTCAGTCCATGTATGTCCAAACTGTATGTAGTAACATAGTAATAGACGTGGAAACAGAACTTAGTGAGGCATTTTACATGTTCTATTGGGGATCAACAGTCTCTCGAGGGATGTAAAGCTTCAGCACGCTCGAGACAGACTTCAATACAAACACGGCTGCCCTTTCACGGCTTCTCTGTCTCATTGTCTACCAACATGCGCACGCCAGCGGAGCAGGAGGAAGCGCAAGTGGGGCAGATGTGCCGGGGTATTGTGCAGGACGAGGAAAAGGCGCTTCAACCTTCTGATTCGTAGTATTCTGCTCGCAAATATTCACTCGTTGGAAAACAAAACACAGGAACTGAACGCATGGATCAAGTTTCAGCGTGACATCGAGAGCTGCTGCGTTTTAGCGCTCACTTGATGGGGGACAGTGAACTCTCAGTGCATAACAGATATAGCGGTTCTAGCCGGTCACTGGTCTCCAGACTTGAGGCTGGCCAAAAGGAGCTACAGGGACAGAATGGAATCTAACTATCTTGGCTCTGGTCTCAGATGTATGTGCAGTGCACTGCACTGACTACAGTGACTACAAAGGAGGTATGATCTGTGAAAGGGGCTCGTCGTCTTCACTTGCAGATGAGCTAAATGCACATTATGCTCGTTTTGAGGCAACTAACCTCCCCTGCTCAAAAAACAATTCACCTGTCTGAGGTGGTGAGATCTTTCAATCCTTTAGGGCAGTTAACCCACACAAGGCACCTGGTCCTGACAGCATCCACAGTGGTGTACTTGGAGCATGTGCCAACCAACCGCCTGAGGTTTTCACTGATATCTTTAACCTCTTGGGATTGAAGTCTCATCTCTGCAACTGGATACTGGACTTCCTGGCAAGCAGAGCCCAGGTGGTGAAAGTTGGGAACAGCTTCTCTTCCACACTCTAAGCACAGGGGTTGATGGTTAATTGTGTTTTAAACTATTCTTTATGGTCAGAACATGACAAACACTTGCCGAACACCAGAATCTGTCATGGTTTCATGGGAGAAAGTTATTTTTAGCTAGGCAATGTGGTTACAAGTTTTAAACTGTTTAGTTTCTCGCCAGCGTCAGGTTAGTATGAACAGCAAACATTAGCTGACTTGGTACATTGATGATGGTTCATACTGCTTTACTCCCATCACTCCCACTACATCTGTCAGAGCATATCACAGTATTTAAACGCAAACTAGTAGACATTTTGATTTGTCTATGCTGTCATAGCAGTTTGAGGGGTGAAAGAACCACAATATATCTGATGCTCACTGTATAAAAGACAGACCTCAATGGCATTAACTACAGTGTGATTTTCCTGAACCAGTCAAACAACATCCTCCTATTAGGTCTGTTTAACCTGAAATCAGAGCTTTTTTTTATCTTGTTTGATCACTGTAGTTCACTACAGTAATATCAGTTTGGCTGTGCTGTGCGACTGACACACAGACCACTTCGGCTGTAGTTGTGCGAGACAGACGTTATTTAACTGTTAAAGCTTGTTAGGATGTTAGGAAAGAAGTGAGTTCTCTCTAAGCCAGTAACCTGCCATTTATCTTGTCATTCTCACTTGGTCACAGGAGAACAGATCCCAGATCGCTCCACTTGAATAAGGAAGGTAATACCGTATGTTTCGGATTTTTTTGAGTAGTCTGTTGGTTTTTAACCCTTTTGTTGCCAAAGGAAGGCTAAAGCAGAGAGCTAATAGCAGGTTGTACAGTGTTTAAGGCTGTGTTTTGAGCTGTCTTTCTGGGTTGTGTGATGTTAGAGCTGGTTTCTCTCACTTTAACTAGTGATGGTGGCACAGCTTGATGATGTCATGCTTGCTAGTTAGGGGCGGGTCTGCTAAATGTCCTGATATGTAGATCATGTTTGTACCTTAAACTGTTATGAAGGCTAGAAGTGACCTACCATTTTGCCCGCATACGGGCTCCAGGTCATAAAGGTTAAATGTACAACGATTCTGTCTGGTAAACCTCCAACAACATTAACTCCTGTAACTGGTTGAATTTTTCACCATTTAACAAAAAGTACTCCTTTCTCTTGAGCAAATTCTACATAAGTATGACTTTTTTTTCGCATGAGCTTGGAATTTTTTTTTAGGAACTAACTCCTGTGTTTGCAAAACAGCAGGTTTTTCAGCATTGTAATTTCTGTACTTACTCTAATCAACAGGTAAAGCAGTAAAAGCTTCCTAAGCTTTT